GCACCCTCAAAGCATTGGGCATTCGACGCTCAACATGTAGAATAGGTTTGCCAAAGGCGCCCAATCAAAAGTCAAATTTGCGTTTGTACGCATGCTCTTGTATATCTGACGCTCCAGATTCTACATTTAGAACTGTGACATGTATTTGTATGTGGCATACAACAACTGTAAAGCATATGGTATCTCTCTTTCAGTGTGCGTATAAATTGTGCGCTGCACATGTGTACACACACACACACAGGTAAAGGAGTTGCTCATTGTTTCGAGCTCAACGATTCAGGGGAGTAAAACGGAGCTCACCACGGTGATGGTTTTCTTGGGGAACCCTAAATGCAGGTTGATGAATCGAGGCTTTGCCGGGGGTCCCCAAAATGGTTGGTCTTGTTTTGGCTTGCCTTTAAACAAGCCCAACAAAGCCAACTTTGGGGGGTCTGGACATGTTTCCCCAAATTACAGTACCCATTCTCGTTTGGTTTCTTTCCGGGAAAGTTTTCGGCATTTGGGGGGGGGGGGTACCCTTTGAAAAGGGTGGTTTTGTTTGGGGAAGTTGCAGGACAACGCTTTTTCCCCACCTGACAGGAAGGGGTTGTTAGATTTTATGTTGGAATCCGTGTTTGCGATGCTTCTACACCACGCCCCCACCCAGTATCCCGCCAGAGCAGCTCGCCAGTGGATCCCGCCAGAGCTGCTCGCCAGTGGATCCCGCCCAGTCCCGCCGAGTATCCCGCCATCCCGCCAGAGCTGCTCGCCAGTCCCGCCGAGTATCCCGCCAGAGCGGCTCGCCAGTGGATTCCGCCAAGTATCCCGCCAGAGTAGCTTGTCAGTCGCCGAGTATCCCGCTGAGTATCCCAGAGTTCCCGCCGAGTATCCCGCCAGAGTAGCTGGATCCCGCCGAGTATCCGCCAGAGGCTCGCCAGTGGATCCCGCCGAGTATCCCGCCAGAGCTGCTCGCCAGTGGATCCCCATCCCGCCAGAGCTGCTCGCCAGTCCCGCCGAGTATCCCGCCAGTGCGGCTCGCCAGTGGATCCCGCCAAGTATCCCGCCAGAGTAGCTTGTCAGTCGCCGAGTATCCCGCTGAGTATCCCAGAGTTCCCGCCGAGTATCCCGCCAGAGTAGCTGGATCCCGCCGAGTATCCCACCAGAGCAGCCCGCCAGCGGATCCCGCAGAGTATCCCGCCATAGCTGCTCGCCAGTGGATCCCGCCCAGTTCCGCCGAGTATCCCGCCATCCCGCCAGAGCTGCTCGCCAGTCCCGCCGAGTATCCCGCCAGAGCGGCTCGCCAGTGGATCCCGCCAAGTATCCCGCCAGAGTAGCTTGTCAGTCGCCGAGTATCCCGCTGAGTATCCCAGAGTTCCCGCCGAGTATCCCGCCAGAGTAGCTGGATCCCGCCGAGTATCCGCCAGAGGCTCGCCAGTGGATCCCGCCGAGTATCCCGCCAGAGCTGCTCGCCAGTGGATCCCGCCCAGTTCCGCCGAGTATCCCGCCATCCCGCCAGAGCTGCTCGCCAGTCCCGCCGAGTATCCCGCCAGAGCGGCTCGCCAGTGGATCCTGCCAAGTATCCCGCCAGAGTAGCTTGACAGTCGCCGAGTATCCCGCTGAGTATCCCAGAGTTCCCGCCGAGTATCCCGCCAGAGTATAGCTGGATCCCGCTGAGTATCCCACCAGAGCAGCCCGCCAGCGGATCCCGCAGAGTATCCCGCTGAGTATCCCAGAGTAGCTCGCCAGTGGATCCCGCCAAGTATCCCGCTGAGTATCCCTTGCCGGTGGATCTTGCCGAGTATCCGCCAGAGCGGCTCACCAGGATTCGCCAGTGGATCCCGCCAGTATCCCGCCAGAGCAGCTCGCCAGTCTGGTTTTGCTTAATGTCCCGCCCGGCGCACAGTTGGGTTTACATTTCATGTTGGTGCCTTCATGTTTCGAGTGTACCCTGAGGCTCGGAAAGGGTGATGCTTTTGTGTTGCTTTGGGCTGTGAACAAGCAACTTCGTTTAATCCCCCGTCGGGTTTCGTTTTGGAAGGGGCTTGGCTTTTGTTAACGGAACCGATGTTTGAGTTCTCGAGATCGGCTCGCAGACAAGTGGAGTTTGACACACAAACAGGTGGATAAGGCTCTCAACGCAAAGTTTGTTGAGCAGTCATAGGCCCCAAGCCACTCGAAAACCATGCTTGAATTCACACAACCGTGTTCGCGGTCGTAAGCTCGTTAGTGTGGAGGGTGGAGATTGCTCGAAGCGAAGCAATTTTTTCCCGAACAATACCTGCAGCCCGCAGGTGGCTGAAGAATTACTACCCTCTTTTTCCCATGACGTCATGACATCTCGTTTATGATGCCCACACCCCCGCGTTTTTTGCGAATCCCACGTCTCCCCTGGCAGGTGAGCTTTCAAGATTGGTTCTCGCCGGTTCCCGTCACCGGCAGGACGTGTGGCTGGTGGGATGGTGAGAGATTTGTTGACCTTGGGCTTTGAAACCAAGCCGAAAAAGGCGGCGGCAAGAAAGACTTGTTGGAATCTGCGAAACAAAGCTCGGAGGCTGACCCATGGTAATGCATGCGCCTTGACCAAGGCAGGTCAACTCGGGGCGCCGTGCTTGGGGGGGGGGGGATGGAGGGGAGTGTGTGCACTTTATGCCAGGGGGCTTCGCCCGGAGACGCGAAGGGATATCTTGTATAAGAAGGGGAGCCCCCGAAGAAGTTCCACACGTGGCACGCCATGTTTAGGTTCGATGAACAAAACACGTCGAGGAGGCTTGGGACGTCCAAAAGTTCGGTTGGAGCCACCGCTGGTTCCCCAAGAAAACGCAGCCCCTGGAAAGCGCTCGGGATGTGTTCCGTTTTTGTCAATGAACCATGTTGAACATATCTCAATTGGGCAAAAAAGAAGGTGGCCCCCAAAAAACAGCTTGAAAAAAAACCAACAGATGCGGGGGAGCGCTTCTCAGCGGCAGGCGGTATCAGCATTGATTTAAATTCTTTGTGCCCCATTCTGGGGGAGGGAACCGGACCCAAGGGAGCTGCCGGCCTACGCTTGTCAATCACTTCACCCCTTCTTTGACCCCGCCCCTTTGTGGTCGTCCCTCACACTCCTCGGGTAATTTCCACGGAAGCATGTTTGTGCCATGCGTGAAGCACTTCTTTGTGTGCGAATGAACCCAGGTTTTGGTTCCCTTAAAGGAAACCGCCAGTTGGATGGTTCATAAACCGAGTCATGAGCCATTTCGCATTGACCCATATAACCATCCAACTGGTGGTTTCCTTTATTCGGGGACCAAACCCTCGTCCGCTGGCTCTCTGGCTGCCCCTCTGGCTGCCTCGCTGGCTGCCTCTCTCAGCCAAAACTTGCTGACCCGGAAGGGGATTCCCTGAAAGGAAATCACCAGTTGCATGGTTTATAGGCTATAGGGGTTATTCCAATTCTCCTTCCCTGCATATCGCACCGATCGCCATCGGCGTGAGGACGGTCCACGCGGACTTTGGCCAGGGCTACAGGTCCCGGGGCTCCGTGAGCTTCGGCTGGCGCGCCCAGAGCGGCGCAGGCTGCGACTTCCCTGCAGGCTGGGGGGGTGGGGTGATATCCTCAGGTGATATCCCCAACGGCATGCGGTGCTCTTTTTAGTGCTCGCACCACCCCGCAGCCCTCGCAGAACCTTGTGGAACCCTGGTGGAACCCTGGTGGAACCCCAAAGCTTTCAGCTGTTGGGGAACAGAAAAAGAAAGGTTTTGGGGTAGGGTGTAAAGTTCTTAAAGTTCTAGAGGGTTGAAAGGTAAATCAGTATGTCTCTTGAGGGTTGGTTAAAGGGACACCGAAGGGAAGCCGCACATTTTATTTGTTCCATGAATTAGAGACACACCCATTTAGGTTTATTAGGTTGGGTTGCAAACGCCTATCACCCATTGAATTGAGGTTCTGTTTAGGATCCCATTTCAGGAACACCCTAACGAGGTTCTGACAAAGGGGTTTGTCCTTCACATGACGATCATGCGTATACAACTCATTGAGGGTCAGCCAATTATCGACTACTGTGCGTTTACTTGTTGGGTTTCATGAGGGGTATTTTTGCGGGAGAGGTGATGCCTTCGTGTAGAGTCAGGGGATTGAGAAGCCTCAAGGCAAAATATGGCCCGAGGCTGTACAGGCCTACATTTCATACCATGAATTCTCACGTTCCAGCGGGTTCGAACGGACGTTATATTGACATTGATGTGAACGCCCCTCTTGAACCATCAAAGCCCCAACACATCAAAGCCCCAACATTGAAGGCCTTCTATTTCTTGGCTGCAAGTTCCTCCTCATTTGGACTGGGCATAAGGCTTATCAACCCCTATTGGGGTCTGTGGGATGTTGTGTGGGGTGTCAACCCTCGAGGTCAAAAGGTAAGGACACCATCCAGATCCGTGAATGGCCATTGCTCTTGCGGAATCCCTACGGGCACAAGGTAGTTGAGGGCCCCACGGTTCCTTTGGGTTCCTTAGGGAGCCTTTGGGAACTAGCTGGACGGGACACAACCGGTGTTGTTTCATCGAATCCGCAGCTGTTTGGCCAAACGCCGTGGAGAGAAATACAGACCACCCCAAAGACCAAAGACGTCAGGTGACACACCAAGTGAGGTCAAGTCAGGACCACAGGAAAATAAGAATCAACCAATAGGGTGGACATGAATTCCCCAATTAAAGTTCCTACCCATTTCAGGTGTGTGATTTGTTTTGGTTCGCCCAACATGTTTAGACCGTTCTTGTTTGAACAACTTCTTTCTTGATTTCAATTCATATAGCGGTTCCTGAACTGTCGCAAACCACTGGTATTTAAGCAACCTTTTCCTTGGTCTTTCCTTGGACCTACTAACTTTTTGCCTCCGTGCAAAAGGTTGTTTTCACATGAGCACTTGCAAGGGGCCAACCCAAGGAGACTTTCGGTTTCCCTTCAAAGCCGTGGCAAAGCCGTGGCAATGCCAAGGGTAGCTCAATGGGTCCATTTTGATTTAGTTACGTCAAAATTGCCACCACTTGCACCGGGCCCGGTCACGCGCTCCGGTTTCCGTGCGCTGGCTCGGTGCGCGCTTGCATCCGCGCATCCATGTGACCGGGGCTATGGAGGAGGTTGGGCCGGCAGTCGTCTTTGCGTGCCATTTGCTGCATTTGATGCCCCACTACTACCTGCTGAACGCTTTGATCCTGGCCCAGCGACAGGAGAGGGGGAGGGAAGCCAAATTTCCTTTGGGAGCTCATTCTGAAGACTCAAAAGGTCGCATTTGGATTGGGGATTCGTCGCTTTTGGGACCCCCTATTAATAGGAGGGAACAAAGTTGGGGTCACAAAGCGCAGGCACAGCCTTTTGGCGGTTGGCAGGACCAGGAGTGGTTCATGCACAGCGCACTGCTGCAGTCTGAGCTGCTCTCCGTAGCTTTGGAGATGCTTTGGTCGGCTTACCACCCCGAGGCCGAGATCGAAATGGATAAGTAGTTTCTCACACACCGCTGCTGGGGTCTCCTCCCAAAAGGGGGAAGGCAGAGTCAGATAGATGTTCTTATTGAAATCGCTACGCGATCCGCCGACGCCAGTGGGGCGCAAGGGATTTTAAGACCTTTATTCTTTTTTCAGGGAAGTCTTGCTTGATGGCACCAGATGATAGAAGGTCTGAATTTGCCAGTTTACAGACATTTCCCTATAACAAAATGCTGGAAATGCAAGGGCGCGAAAATACCAGAGATGCCGGGAATGCAGGGAATGCAGCCGGCTGGCCACAAAACAGTCCAAAAAACCAAAAATTTTCAAAATCAACAATCAAAAGCCGGTACTAGCAACCCCCTCAAATACCCTAGAAATAGACTAAGAGGATAATGCAGGGGAAGAGGATAATGCAGGGGATGTTTCGCAGTAACTGCTCCGTACAGGTGGGGAATTGCAAGAAACACTCATTTTTGCAAATTCAAACAGTTCCTCAACGTATCACTGCACTTGGCCCCATCCAGACCCCTAACAGGCCGATTCCAACATCGCTTGAAACAGCAAACCACCATTGGTATCTGTAAAAAGAAGAGACAAATTCATAGCAGCAAGGTAATCCTGATGATGCTGGGGATGCAGATCCTGCGCGTCCGGGGAACCCCCCCTCCCCCTAGAGAGCTAGGCGAAACGCATATTTTTAGCACGCAAGCCCCCAAAACGCTGGACAATTACAGGGTTTTGGACGCCCAGCACACCATGCCAAAAAAATGGCAGCCGCAAAAGCCTTCGGCTTTGATAAGAGATCCGAAGGAAGACCAAGTTGCGGACTGCCATCTACACGCTCGACTGCCGTCGGCGGATTTTCTGTATACCCCAGATGGCCAAGGCTGCTTGAGTGGCTTGAGTGTTTCTTTTTGACTGCCTCCTTTCGAGGGCACCTGTTTTTTGGCTTAGTTTTGAGGACAACAGAGAAACCAGCCTTCGAGCTTTTTTGGGTCAAACCCGTCTCAGCTATTTACTTAGTTGTTGACTTAAGAACATAGCCGCCAAGTTTGGGGAAGACTAACAAGGCAACAACGCAACGCTGGGGTCGGTGTGTTGGGGGGGGGTGGTTAGACGCTTTCAGGTTGTATCAGAGACCTGACCAGAAAGACTTCCGGCCCCCTCCCTTGTCCCCAAATGTTCCCCCGCGTGAGCCTTGTGAAGGCAAAGTTGGCCAAATCAGTGGCCCAAAGTTTCGCCACGGGCGCCTGTCTCGAAATAGGGAACAATGTTTGGATGGGTTCAAGCGAGAGCCAAAAGGAACAAAGAGCCTGGAGGGGTTTTCAATTTGGCTTCTCCTTGGGCTGATTGTTTTGACAGTTTGACAACGGTAAAGCAAGGTCCGTTCAGCTGAAAATCAACTGTTACGCGCAGAAACCCTTTGACGCGCCTGGAAAGGATGACTTGGCCAACATGTATCCTGTAAGCCTGTGACTGGTTCAACGCTTGGTATCTGAAAATGCTTTGCATTTTTACGGTTGAATGCTGGCCAAGATAAAGTCCACACCAGTGATCCCCCCAACTCTTTTTTTCCTTCGCACTTCAGGCCCTGCGGTTCGCCTGGTGCGCGTGGTGCGCGGCGCTCTGCGCGGCACTGCAGTGCGTGAACATGGTGTTGGCCTGCGTAGGCACGACGTACAGCTACCAGGCGGGGTGGTGGATTTTCTTTTTGGCACACAAAGCATGGTATAGCCCCACAAAGCACCTTCCTAGGCCTGCATGGCCTCGCCAGTTTCTGGCTGACCTGGCCTCTGACAATTTTAGCTCCATTACAGTGGCAACACACCTTATTCCCCGGCTGAACACAGGTCAAGGTGTGTGTAAAATGCACTCTGGACTCTGCCTGGTCCCCTTTGCCCTGCAACCCTGTACAAGTAAGACTGAACCCGCTTTCAATGGCTGCAATGGCATGAGGGGGCTTCAAGCAGTGCTGGCAGTTGATACAAAGGATGCCTTTGCCAAAGGACTTCCATTTGTGACCATTCAAGGGACTGTCAACTGCTTGAGAAAGCAAATCTACTTTCCTCAATTTTTGGGCAAATTTGCTGTCAGCCACAGTTTCACCCTGTCTGCCCAAAACTGGTTGAGCTTCTAAGCCCTGCCCTCAATCCAATCAACAATGCCAGGATGAATATTCTGAGCATAGGTACCAGCAAGTTCAGTGCGAAGCTGCTTGATTTGCTCTCCAAAGGGATTCCTGGTGCCTGAAAGGTTGCTTCATCCTGTGACTTAACTTTGGGAATCTGGACATCTCTGTGTCTGTATTCCCACATGTCTTGCATATCATGACTGCCAGGGTATCCAGCCGAGCATGCAGGTGAGTAAGGCTCCACCAGCCCTTGCGGGGAGGTGAAATACAAAGCGACGTCACGTTCTTTACTTGGAATACGCCGTTACCCAACGCGGAGGTAACTGGTAACTTTCTTGGGGGCCGATTTCTTATTTTCGGCTGGTGAACTAATCATTGTGGGCGATAGCCAGGCCTAGTTTGGCCGTAGTTGAGTCATGAGTTCCCCCTGTTTGGTCTGCCTTGCTTGCATAAACACAGTTCCTGCATTATTTTGCGATATGTTGCCTTCTTGGCTTTAGTTGCCTTTACTTGTTCCTATTTGGCCGTTGTCTGACATTATGTTTATGTTGACTTAGTTGGCCTCATTTAACCTTATGTGCATTCATTTTGTCGAATTACACATGATTTGGGGTTTATGTGGACTGAGTTATGTTAGTGGGCCTTGTTGCATGTTTTTGGCCATGATTCCGTATGTGTATTTGTGTTTGTCATTTGTATTGTTCATCTGGGCTTTGGGTAGTTGCTTAGTTGCCGAGTCTTCCATTCAAGTGGGACTTAAAGAAAAAATAAACAACATGTTCCCTTCTTGGTGTTAAAGGGAGTCTATCTGAAAAGAGCGACAGCTTGTATCACTAGTTGTCCCCACAAGCCGAGAAGCAAATGGACGCCGCTTCGGGCTCGGGAACCGAACCAAGGTGGCGCTGGCCTTCCAGGTGGCGGCCGGGCTGGCGTTGATCCCGGTGCGCCAGGCTTGGCAGCTTTTTTTGTTTTTTTACATATATGTATGTGTATATATATATATATGATATACATATATACATATATACATCTTCTCTTCCGACCAGAGAACAACTCACTCTTTTTTTTGAATTAAACCAGGTCTCCCTTAGAACCATTTGTTGCTTAACGGCTGACATTGGCTTAAAGTTATGGGGTTTCTGCCCAGATCGCGCCTGGGTGGTTCTCAGGGTCAAAGCGGGGATTCTAGACCTTTCTTTGAGATCGCAGGAAAATAGCTTTGAAATTCAAGGGGAACCAAACATTTTGAGGGCTTCCGCATTGAGACACCCACAATTGCCTATTTTTGACATACCCAATTTAAGGGTTTCCCTCTAAAAATCAAGTAGCTCGAGAAAGGGTGCCTGTTTTCCCTCTTTAGCAAAGCGTCTAGTTGCAAGAAGAAGCTGCTGGCTTCTAGGGGGCACTTTTCATTCCACCGAAGTTTATGATTCCAAGACCTGAAATGATGCTCGGATTTTCAAGTAAAGGACCTACGGGTAAACGGGAAACAGCCCCTGACCTCCAAACGAATCCAAATCACCAATTGGGTAGGTCGAATTCGAACCACCACGAAACAGGTAGTCCTTGTTCCCATTATTTTGGGTATGAATTTGGATCCACGCGCACCAGAGCTGATTGCGTCTTGGCGAAAGGGTGGGAACGAAGGGATCGCCTGGCCGTGGGCGCGTTGGACCTCCCGGTGTTCCCGAATCCGTTGGGTTGAAGCCCTAAGGGCTTCATGGACCTGTTTGAGTTGAGACCACTTCTTCCGTTTGGGGTCCCAGGAGGTTGAGATCGAACATGAGGATTCCCCATATTGGCATCCTACTTCTCATGGGTCATTCGTGTGACAATGCCAACTGATGCTTGGCGGATTTGCTCAGATACATTCGGGGAATTGTGTGGAGAAGGGATACGAGATGCCTCTGAATGTGGTTTTCAAGTCCGCCAACCCCCATTTTAGTGCTCGCGCGGCTTTTTCGCCGCCCCTTTTGTCGCAGGTGGGGAACAACTTCACGCTGGCGCGGCGCGTCAGCCCGGCCAGGTACCGGATCCTCGCGTGGCTGGTGGCCGTGCTGCTGGCGGTGACGTGCCTGCTGTCCGAGCCTCGGCGCGGTTGAAAAGCCCCGCGGAGCTGCGAGGGTAGATCTTCTTGTCAGGAGCCCTTTTTGGGGATGGTTTAAAAGGGACACCAACAGGCAACCAACTATGATAGACTCAAATTTATTGGAGAGGCCCGCCAGGTTGATCAAATCGGTCAACTTCTCAGAAGCTCAGGGCACAGCGAGCCCCAAAACCGATTCATTTTGGCCATTTCAAGTGGTTCGGTTTCACGTGGTGTAATTGGTCTCATTGTTGCTCAGCCCCAACAGAGGCTAGCAAATGACACGTCCATTTTTACGGGGCTGCGTTTGGGCGGGTCGCCCCTTTTTGGAGGCCCTGACATCCATGGGAATGACAACGCCTGCGGTTATGACCGAAAAGTTCATGGGCTTTGGATGTTCAGGTGAGTCTGGATGCTTTTAAACATGTTGGTCCATTTTACCATCTGGCTTGTTGTTGTAAAGATACTTTTCACTTGTAAATAGGGATCTCCCAAAAAAAACATGCTGAATGAAGGTCGGTGCCCACCACTAAGCAACCCTGAAATGGATGCTTCAAAGGCCCCAGAGCGCCAAATACTCCCGCAGAGTAGTCGGCTTCAAAAGCCTCACCGTTTTTTTTGTCATCTTTTCAGGTTCGCAGCAACCCAGAAAAAGATCAGGGATTGGTAAAGGCTGGTGAAAAGCGTTCTTTTGAACAAATGGATGAGAATCGTACTAGAGAATGACATGAAAGCTTACTCCTGTAATGACTAATCTTGGTTTTCACGTACCCCAGCCCATTCTAACTAGTTTGGCCTTTGTATCCTGGGTCAAGACTGGAATTTGGCCCCCCAGAATGCTCCTCTTATCTGAGTACATCCGCTGATGAGAGAAACATGCTCTTTGTCAATTAGTTTTCATGAGGATGTCCCAGACAGTCCATCCGTCGCTCCTGGCTGGACAGTTTGTGTCACCTGCTTTCAAGAGTACTTCAGCAGGTGTTTTGGTGTTTCCGGTTTTCTCCCCGGGAAGCACGTTGCAGGCTTGGTTGAAGATCATTGCTGTAAGATCATCTCCCTGGGTATTAGCTGCACAAACAGAGACTTCGCAGGCTGTTACCTTGCGACTCTGAGCCAGCATAAAACTCGGCAACGCGCCAGAATGGTTTGTCCCCCTGCTTTCATTTGAGCCAACCTGGCAAGGGTACTCTGGCCCTTCTGGCTTGGCCGGTCTGTGCGACCGAATCGCCCCTTCCTTTTGAGAAACCCTGGGTGTTTTTCCACTACTCTAGGGGTTGATTCCCGCATTCTTTTCAACCATCGTTCTTTTCCAAAAACCAGCTGTTTTTTCTGGGGTTTCGATGGTTTTCCAAAAAGAAGGATCCCTGGAAAGAATGGAAATGGAAGTGTCCCCTAGAACTACCGAAGGCGCCACCAACCTCCCATTGCTCGCGTCCCCGGCCGGGCTACCCGCCGCGCGCGCCCAATGGGCCGGGCCGGGCCGAGGAGCAGATGGCCAGCGTCTGGGTCCTGGCGCCCTGCGCCGCGCTGCCCGCCCTGGGCGCGGCGGTCGCTTTGGCGTCAGCCACCGGACGCGGCGCGGGCGGAACGTCCGAGGCGAAGCTAGGCGCGAGTGGGGTTGGGGGGGGGGACGGTGGGGGACGGTGGGGGACGGTGGGGGACGGTGGGGGACGGTGGGGGACGGTGGGAGACGGTGGGGGACGCTGGGGAACGGTGGGGGACGCTGGGGGACGGTGGGGGACGGTGGGTCTGATGTGAGGAAGGTGTGGCGCGGTTTTGAGGTTTTGACTTGGATTCCGTTTTCTTTCTTGTCTGTTTGCTTGCTTGTTGGTTTGTTTCAATAACCAGCCCCTGGTTCACTTGAAAGTTTGTCCTGATATTTCCCTGAGAACACTACACTTCACGGCCGGTTTCCTCAAACACATGCAAGGTAACGGAAGGACGACGCTTTGGATCCCTTTGTCCTTTTGAATCACCGAAGAAGGGGTACTAGCTCAAAACAACGAGCCGCCGGCAGGTTCCGCTGGGAATCAGGGCGTGGGCTGGGGTGCCTCTGCGCTCTTCCTGGCACTGGGCTGTGGGCTCGGCACCACCGGGGAGGCGATGAGGCTTGGCTGTGCGGCTTTGGGATCCAAGACGGGAGTTGGTCTCTCAAAAGAATTGGAGATCAAGTCAGTGCAGTCTCGATACTTAAGGGTTTTGACTTTTAATCCCCCCCAAAATGGCCTCTTGCCCTTTTTGTGCTGCCAAATGGCCTCTTGCCCTTTTTGTGCTGCCTTTCAATGCATTCAACAGGGGATCCGCCACAGCGCATTAGAGCAAAAGCAGCTTGTTCTCATCGAGATCAAGTCAATTCGGTGGACCCATGATACTAAGAAGGGGTTTTGATTGCAAAGGTGTCCTAGGTCAGCAAAGAGGGAACCAGGGACGAACAAAGGAAAAGGTGATGTTATGTCGAACAGGTGATGTTTCAGCCACGGAAATCAAGGGACAATATGATGTAATATTTGTTTCCTGGAGGCGGTCTGCAAAACTTATATTTTTTTGAGTTTCGAGGTAGAGTAAAAATCAACCAGCATCTGACATGTTCTGTGCACCAACCAGATGGAGCCCGAGGATGGACATGGCCGTGAATTTGGCGGTCCGCCGCAGGCTGCAGCAGGGCTCCCGGGACCTGGCGCTCATGACGCACGGCTTGCCGGGGTGACGTTCACCGAGAAAATGAGACAGGGCGAGGTTTTCGCCCAAAGCTTTCAGAAGTTGTCCCACCTCGAAACCGTGAGCATTGGAGCAACTGCGAAATTTTCTCACCTCGAAACCTTGAAACCCAAGCAGGCTTCTTGAAATCCTGAGCTAAAATTTGACCTCCTCCTTCATACTTAGTTGAAATCCTTGAATTGCGGGGGGGTCTTGGGTGGGCGCAGGGATCCTGAGTTCGACATTTGTGGGATTGCAGAGTTGATTGGGTGGGACTTCCTATTGCAAGACCCGGCAGCCTCCCCCGAAGCCGAATAATTTGAAGAACGCTGGGTTCCCACATTCAAACCCGTGAGCCGTGTATTATCGGGCAATGGAAGAGTTGGGCTTGGTGTCGCGTATCATTCTCATACTTCGTAAGAACACGCAAATTAAGAAGCCCAGGGAGTATTCCCAGAACCTCCCCGCTCAATGAACCTCCCCCCAGGGTTGCTCTACACCCAGGATTGGCGAAGATGCTACAGCTGTCACTGCTGAAACACAAACACGCCAGTGGTTTGCAGGTTTTTGAGGGTGAGGTTTTCCTATATTCCCAGTGGATTCGAAAGGGAACATGAATTCGGCGGCGAGTTGATCTTTTTATTGCCCGGGGACAATTTGTTTGTGTACCAACCAGATGTGGTTGCCTGGGGGGGGGGGGGGGTATGTCTTTGGGGGGCGTGTGGGCGCCCGTGAAGTTGCCTTTGGTTCAACTTTGGCCATCAAGCCTTTTCCCCTAAGGGACCTCGTGGTGAATGGTGTTGTATCCGGCCAGAGAGGGTGTGCTGAGTTTCTCGCCCCAAACCCGGCAGACATCGCATGGTTGTTGTTGGGAACACTTTACATTTTTGCTTATTGTGGTTTAGTGGGAAATCCAACCACTGAACTGCTAGAAAAAAAACCAATCTTTGCTCCCCTTCCAAGGTCAACCAAGATCGGACTGAGGAACCAGTTCTCCATCTTCTGCTCCATGTCCTTAGCCTACCTCTCCGAAACCCAACGCTTCGGGGCGCACAGCAGCGAAAAGTTCATCGGGGCTTGGCTCGGCTGTCAGCTGCTCCGCGGCTTCTCGCTGCATCTGCTGGAGGCGGGTCTGAAGGGAGCCCAGAGAAATGTGGCATCAAACCAATGGGATCCCATTTTTGGGGTAGGTGAATTCACCGCCCATTTTAGTCTATTTCAGTGGGGATTGGGATGTTTACTGGGGTACGATTTGGATTTTGACCCATGGTCATGTGGCATTAACTGTTATGCACGAAAGACTCCGGTAAAGCGGTTAGGCATGGTCCTGGACCCCTCAAGGGAATACGAAGATGAAAAGAGTTCCTGTTAAGGAAACCATGATTGGGTACCCTAGCCTCGCCAAAGACGCCCCTTCCCATCTCTGAGGAAATTGATTCCTCTTTTAAGGTTCACCAAGTGTGGGTAGCGTTGGCAGCCAAAGTACCCCCAACACCCCTAGACCCTCTCCGAATCACTAGATGTTTTCTTTGAAAGGGGCACACAATGGTCCAAGTCAAGGCCTCCCCTTTTTGAACAACCGTCAAATGTGCCACGTTACTTTCGTTGGTAGAGTCGCTTTTTGACAGATCGCTGATTCAGATTCCCTCTTGAAAGTATGGAAGCTAAACTTGGAAACATAGGACGCTGTTCCGAAGCGGGTTGTTCAGATTTCAGACGACCATGGGAAAATCAGGCAATATGTCTTCCCTCCCCCCCCCGAAACATCCAGACGACAGGTGTCCCCTCCAAATCTGAAACATTTGGGGAAATGTGTGCCCCCAAAAAACTGCAGATGAAAGTTCGGAAAAGGGTTGTCCTTTGCAGACAATGGGCACTTGGACCTTAGAAAGAAACAACAAACACATGCGCAAGACTAGCAACCCTAATAAAATGTGGCCCCCAAACAAAGAACCCCTGACAAACACAGCATCCCCCCCCCATTCCGGGAAATCCCCCAAATCTCATGCAAGGGCTCACCATGACAAGATGCGAAGTGCCAGGCGGGGCAGCTGGGGGTGGCCCTGCTGGCCGTCTTCGCCTTCCTGGCAACTTGGACAGGGCTCCTTGAAAGATGCATTTTGCAACCAGTTGAAACATGTTGCTTTTTCAACACCAAAATAAGGGGGTAAAGAGCCCAAAAAAAGTCTACACTTCTGGTCGCGATATTTCTTCATGGTCTAAGAGTAAGCCTTTTAGCCAGCATATTCCGGGGGGGGGGGAGGGGGGGCTGACAATGATGTAGGTCCTGCAAATCCGAATCTTTCAGGTTTTGGAATCATTTTGGGCATTGTGCAGCGCCCAAAACCTGCAGTAGCCATTTTGCTACACCCGCCTACCATATGAGACGCCCATGGATTTTAACTTGCTATGATGGAGGGTCACAGACGTGTGGCCACTGCATTCTCATGTCCTGTCAGTGATAGAACAACCTCTATATTTGGCCAACTTGGCTTGCTCGACCTGAATACATGCGGCAATGGCACATTGAGCCCTTGGCTTGGGCATGCAGTGCTTTGGGCTTTGGGAGCCGTGCTTCTGCTTGGCGACAAGAAGTTGTTGCTCTTCTGATGGCCTCGTGGTTTGTGTGGATCTGTTCCATTCCGGAAAGCTGGGCTGTGCCAGACATAGAACGTAATGTTTGAGGAAGTTTTGTAAAACTTTTCCTTGGAATGAACGGCTGCGTATGTTGAAGGCCACGTTTGAGCCACGCCACGTCGCAGAGTCGTCCATGAGTCTATTTCTGTGAAGCAATAATCCCACCCGGCGCGCGCGTCAAGGCGTCAAGGGTAGGCTTTTAGGCGGTTCTGCGGCTTCCATAAGGATCTAGGTCCCCCTAGTAGTGCCCTTTTACCCCTTTTTTGGGGGAGGGTTCCCCTACTAAAATGAACGACAGAAAAAAATAGGGTACCCTTATTCTAACCTCTCTACTGGAAGACGTAGGGATACTAGCCGCGGCCGGAAGAAAAACAAACTTTGCCATACCCGTAGCAACGGATGGACCCGTTTGGGTTTGGGCACTGCTCACCTGGGTTCCAAATGCCGCCCCAAATGCAACCCCAAATGGCGGGTTCGCCGTGAACCAACCCAAAAAAGGCAAGGGCCCCAGCACAAACAAGGTTCCTTAGGTTTCGGAGGTTCTAAACAAAAGTTTTGGGCCAATGTAAGGCGAGAGTTCTCTCTTTTTTTTCTCCGGATGTTTAGCTGGATGCTTAAAGGGAAATATGGGTTTGTCTCAAATTTGTGGAACACCCCAACATGGGTGGTTTCCTTTTGGTTTCCATTTCAAACCATCCAAGAGTACCCCCCAAGAATACCAGACGCGCCCATACCCGACAGACGTTTTAGGAATTGGCGATCAATTTGCAAGTGTCTTGTTTTAGGGGACCCCATCCAAAATGGTGGTTTTCCTTTTGGTGTCCCTTTAAAACCATACAAAAAGGGGTACTTCCTCCCACTAACATGGCATGTAACAGTGGGTTCCTCCAAGAGATTGATCTTCCAGATACCTGCCCACAGATGCCACGTTAGTGCCCTTTTTTAGATGGCTTTAAAGGGACACAAAAAGGAAAGCCACCATTTTGGATGGGGTCCCCTACAGGACACTCGCAAATGGTATCCTCCCCGAAAAGGAAGCCACTCGCTCGGTTTAGGACAAGTACACCGGGCCGCTGGGCGCCGCGGCCTTGGATGTGGCGCTCTTGCGGGTCCTGGAGCCGAAGGATTCGTCGACTGCCTGGTGCACTGCGCCCCAAGCGAGGCGAGGCGGTGGGGTGGGCTGGTGCTCTCGCTCGAGAGCTTGCTGGTTCGATAGCTTGCTGGTTCATGAGATTGGAATGACCCTAAACCCTCCAACTGGTGGTTTCCTTTCGGAGGATGGCTGGTTGCGCCTGGGTTCATTTCCGCATTCCCTACTGAGCGCCGGCAAGATAGGCAGGGAATGAGAAATGGAATGGCTTCTGAAGATAAATAGTTATTTAACTGGTGGTTTCCTTGAAAGGGATAGGTTTATTCCCAACACCGGGAAGGGTCATTCCCTACTTAGCACCTGCAAGTAATTGGGGGCTCGCAACATGAGCAGGGGTCATAAAAGCCAAAATAACACCAAGCAACAGATCCTATGCACAAAAAAAACAGTTGGGGTAGGCCAAATATGAAACAGAATCTGGAAACTTACCCACCCGAGGGAAAGGCCAAGTTGAGTTTTGTTGGGGAAAATAGAGAGCCCTGTTTCAGTAGGTGGTTCTAATACCTAGTTTTTCATGGTGGGGCAGCATAAACCGGCATCATCGCATTGGTAGAACGAAAAGTTCCAATGGGTTGTGGGCACAAACACTGCATTTGGTTTTCCCGCACCCCAGTAGTCAAACGGGTGGTTTGACTACTGGGGTTCCAGCTCTATATTTCCCTCAAAAGTTTTTTTCACCCCAATGCAAACCACCAAGTCCAAGTCTGAGGCTGGTGCCCAGCACGTTGCTTTGGACGTCGCGCATGGTCTTCGCGCGCGTGGAGCGCCCCGCGTGCAAGCGGCTTTGGTGTTAAAGGGGGCGCAAGACGTTGGAATTCTTTGTCGGCCTTTTTGTAGCCTCGTCCCTTGACCAAGAACGAAGCCTCTGGGATGGATTTGTTTTCCTATGAAGGAAGCCTGGCTGAACCACCTGACCAAAACCAAGGCTGTTGCTCCTCCACTTCGAGTCTTTGTTCGCTGTGGAGCAGGTGGCCTTGACTTTCTCTTGCGCCACCTGTGCCGGAGTTCTGGCGGTGCTATGGGCGACCGAACGTCCCGCCAAAGGCGAAGCGAAGAAGGAGATATAAAAAGGAGACAATTGCTGGGGTCCCTCTAAACATTTGGGTGTGGGTCAATCCCGAGATTCTTTGTTGGTAACCCTTCCATTTTAAAAGGGAATCTCTTGTAGGAACAGGGTTTGACCAGCCTTTGGTGGAGTGGACTAAACATGGAACGCCGTCCGCCAAGATCCTTTTTTGTGGACTACAACGATTGGAGCAAACAGGTTTTGTGACGTCAAAGGAAACACGTGGTCTAAACCTGTATTCTATGGGCCTGGGTGTTTGGGAGGTCATGTTAGCTTCGGATTCATCTGGAGGACCGTACTGATCAGAGGAACTCCCTAAGATAGGTCATTCCCATAGGGGGGCCATTTCTGAGGATTCTTGTGCCGACTGGTGCGAAGTGGATTTGGTCCATCCACAGCAGGCTGAGTGCGTACGTCATATGCCGTGGTACGAACCCATAGTTAATTGAGCTGCGGGGGCCAGCCAATGAGGTGGCTGGAATGAGCTGGTTCTTGGGCGTGACTTGGCTTACTCGGCTGGGGGGGGGAAGGCTGGGGACACTGGAAGCCAAACAGCTGTGTGAAAGCTGGGCACTGGGCTGAGGAGGTCGTGGGCTCTGGTGCGCGGGCTGCGCAGGGAATGGGGCAAGATTGCAGCATTAACAAAGCGGTCAGAGCCAGGCAGAAGTACGCAAGATTTTGCTGCGAGCGTGAGTTGGTGGGGGACGGGTTGCAAAAGTTTGGGAAGATCCCTATGGTCTAAATAGGGATCTGACCGCTTCCCAGCCCTGAGGGCACACGGGGGCAGGAGGAAAGGAGGCCTCCCCTGACGTGTAGTTTGTGGCAGACTCGGGTAAGGCGGAATAGAGCCGCCAAAGCAATTATTGTAGTTCTCCCAGGGATGAATAGCCTTCGTTGCGTTGGTGCCTGGCGGACCCTTCTTTTTGCCCAAGGGACTTCCAGGGTCGACCGCTTTCGCCAGGCAGCCCAGTGGCCTTCGGTGCAAAGCTCGCCGCGCGGGGGTCCCTGCAATCCCAAAGCGCAAGCGGCCCCAAGGTTAAGGGTGAATCAAAGCGCATCCATCCTATGGAGTTAGACAATCCAGATCACTGTTCGCGGAGTTGTGTTCCAACTCCATCAGGTTCGTTGGTGTTGACTTCGGACACATCCCAACCCTACTCGTCAAACTAGCCCCTAAACAAGTTCATCTCTTCAGTAAAAGGGGAGCAACCCTTGATTAGCACGGTCCTCCACATTGATCCAAAGTCAAAAGTAATGCGGGGTCGACATTTGATGCAAGTTCCGCATTGCAAAGGCGCCCTTTGCGTGAAGACCCAACAAAACTCGAAGCTTTCCCAAGTGCCCTTTTTCCCCTGGCGATCCAGCCTGCGCTTCCTCCTCTTGAAACCTCACGCTTCGCGAGACGAAAGCTCTTTGCTGAGGTCGATCGCAGGTACGGCCTCTGGGTGGAAGCTGGGCTGCTATTTGGTGAAGGGTCTTTGACCTTGTTTCACGTTTTGGGGGAGCGAAATGCGCTTGTCCCACCCACCCAAAGAAGGGTAACTTGTAAATGGTTGTGCCCACAAAAAGTGAAACACATTTGTGCAGGGGAACAATCGCCAAGGAAAGAAGTCACTGGCTTCACGACCTCCGTCAGCTCGCAGCTCTTCAACTCAGGCTGACAGCCAGGGGGGCCAGGTGCCACTTTCTGAGGTCGCAGGCTTTGCCTTTTGGGTTTGGAGCAAGTGGCAAACAGCAAGTTCGAACTTTGTTTGGCCAACGCGCAGCCTTTTTTCGTGAAATCAGCTCCGTCGTCATTGCTAAGACATTTTGGGAGATGTTTGCCCACGCAGATTTGGTCAAGATGTGCGCAAGTCAGTTGGATAGCAAGACAAATCCGAACGAAGCCCTTATTTCAGCCAGTCCATGTCTAACTGAATTTACTTAGAGTTCAATCTAATACGGAACGTACTCATAACTTCTATGTCAAATTAGGATTTGATGATAGTTATTCCATCTGAAGCTAAAATCTACACAAGAGTTCAATTCGAATAGGATATTCTTTGCACATCAGTTGACGTGCAAGCAAAGCTTGTTTATTCAACTGCAAATCACCTCCAATTTCTATTTTGTACTGTCATTTTAAGTAGGATTTCCTTTCAACAAAGAAACACATCCACTGGATCAGCCCTTCCCAACTCCACAAGCCAAAAACATCATTCTCACATAATTTTTGGCGCGGTGAGTGGCTACCTTTGAAAGAAGATGTTGTTTTTGTGGTTGCGTTAATCAAGTGGAAAGACTGTTTTATGATTGGTGTTTAGATCTTTAGTCTCTTTGGTGTCCTTGATGTTTGTTTACTTCCTTAGAAACCTGAACATCAGAAAAGTCTGCAACTTGCACATGTTTCCCAAACAAAAACAGAAAATACAGCAATTTACACAAACCCCACCCAACCACGGAGAACTGCAATCTCGCAGAGTGCACTTTGGAGATTCTGTGCGGTTCTGAACCCCCCCCCCACCCCCCGTTTTCTGTTTTTCCGAGCTGGTTTGCAGAATATGGTCTTTTAAGCCTTTGTCGGCCTGAAAGCCCAGAAGGTTCCATTTTGTGATTAGCCCAAATGCAGAGTTAAACCCAGGGCCTTTTCCTTCTTTCAGGAACTCAACTATGGTTCTCCCCCGCACCCCCCTCTACCCATGGTATGAGAGGCGACCACCTCAACCTCGCCAACGGGCGCTTTACGGCGCCGGTGACGGGGTACTACCACTTTTCCACCAACATGCGCGGCCCGGAGAAAAAGCGAAGGTTCGGGAGAAGGCCGTGAGGCGGGGTCCCCTTCAAAAGTGGTTGGCGGACCTAAATGGTGTGCACATGGTCCTGCATTCAAAGAGACCTCCCCTCAAGAACTTTTTGAAGAACAGAAAAAAGGGTCTACCACAAACTGTCATCTTCTCCAAGAGGACCAACCGGTTGTTTGACTCGTCCTGATCAGAAACACGTCAAACACCTACCACCCCAAGGGTGACCGCGATAACAGGTTGTGGGAATGAGGGTTATGAGCCTCAATTCATTGCCGGGTTTGGGGGTAGGGCCCATCCTCAATTGCCCGAAGCAACCAAGCAGATCCCAACTCAAAACGCATTTGGGCAGAACATGTCTTGTTGCTTTGGCAGCAAGCGAGACCCGCAAAGACCTCAAGGCCGAGGCCCGGGCCCAACAGCAAGCGAACACCGAATGGGGGGTCATGGCCCCCAACTCCTCATGGAAAATCCAGGGGGCTACCAACATGATCTTCCTGCTTGACAGGCAGAGAGAAGTTTTGAAAGGGAATGGTCTCAAACAGAACCATCCACTCGTTGTGTTCTGGGGGATTCCAAATTGTTCATTCCCAAACTCTCTACGAGTCCCTGCTCGTCTTGAGCAAAGAGCACTCCAGGTTGGGGTTAAACCATCCTGACCTGAGCGTAGTGCTTGGGACTTGTTGCCAATGCTGGAAGAAGTGTCCCAGTTCATGGCTGGTTCAAGACGCGTGGCTGCCTCTTGGACCAAACTATAGAAGAGCAACCCGGAGTTCAGGTCTTAGTCAACCCGAACTCAGGTTGCCGTCGTGCCGTGGCGCGGGAACGCCATGGAACACCTTGTGTGGCCAGGTTCCCTAAAAATAATAGTTTTGTAGATTTGAACACACATGAACAATTTCATTCTGACATCTACACGACCCATTTGTGGAAGAACAAACGATTTGGACTTTGAACATGTGTTCGTGTTCTTTTGGAGGGTACTTTTTCAGGTGGTTTTTCTTCTTGGAGCCAAAGCCGGGTGGGGCCGGGTCCCAATTTCAGGCCTGGACCTGGCGGTGGGCTCGTATTTCCGGGTCTTTCTCTTCGTGAACAGTGGCAAGCGCCCTGGCCGAAGACAAATGGCCGGCCCTGCTCCAGAAAAAGGGGGCCGGAAAGGGCAGGGGGGCTATCTGGCTATCTCCCTTTCATATCGCTGGGTTATTGCTTGAGTTGGGCTTACCTGGGACCATTTTAGCGGCAACTCAAAGTTTCCGGACTTTGGGGCAATCGGATGGCCAAGAAGCCAGGCCAGGGACTTCCGATTTTCTAGTTGGGTGACCTCCAGTTAGATCGATTTCTCCGTGTGCGGAGTGGGGATGCTCTTGAAGTCAAGCTGTTCATAGGCATCATTCCCTAATTCCCTGTGACTCTCGAGGTCGAACATCCGGAGGCTTCGATTTGTCCATCCGGACCGAGGAATGGGAACTTCCCTGGTACCTTGAAGGGCTCGCCGCTGGGGAACTACTACACCCTCTCCACCTCTGGAAGCCTTTGGCTTGGGGCTGGGCAGTACGTGCCTCTCGGAAAGATCGACCAGGAAATCTGGCCGTTGGTTGGACGCGGGAGGTCCGTGCTCTGGACAAGTTGTTTTTTCTCCGCATATTTTTGGTATTTTTAGGCTTGGCTTTCCTACACAGCTTTTGGAGCAAGTTTGGGAAAAGGATCCAGCACCCTGCCTCAGCGCTCCAAAGACCCCGCTCTACCCCAGGAAACCAAATCTCTCCTGGGGAAACAACAACAAGAGAGAATGCGCCTGCAACAAAAGTCAACGGGAAACACCTCGTTTTTGAGCGCGTGCTGCGGCTCGATTTGGAACGCGGGGAAAGCCGAACCTCGACCCACTTTAAACCAACCAGAATCCAACCCAAAACCCTAAACCCCTAAACCCCTAAACCAACCCTAAACCAACCCTAAACCAACCCTAAACCAACCTAAACCAACCTAAACCAACCTAAACCAACCTAAACCAACCCTACCCTCAACCAATCTTTAACCAACCTTTAACCAGCCTAAGCCAACCCAAAGACAAACATATTCCCACCCAGAGTTCCCAACAAGAAAGGGGGAGGGAGCAAAACAAGTAAACAACATCGCAAACAGACACAGCCCCTTCACACAAAGACGTCCATCAAAACAACCGACACGCAACACGACAAGCCAAGACGCACCCCCAAAAAGTCGGCGCTTTTGCCCTAGGCCGCAGTTTTCAGGTCCGCTTCTTCGATCCGAGGTCCGTGTGGATCTACAGCGGGGGGGACACACTCTACACCATCCAATCAGAGAGCGGCTTCTCTGGGCATCTCATCTCCACAGGCGCGGCATCATCTCATCTCATACCCATGGTTGTTGTTGGGAAACCATTTTTGCTTATTGTGGTTTGGTGGGAAATCCCCACGTAACTGCTAAAATTCAATCTTTTGCTCCCCTTCCAACGTCAACCAAGTACCTGGAAGCACCCCGGAAGCAGAACCCCTTGGTGGCTTTTTCCCCACTTTTCAAGGGGGTGAAGAGAACGACTTAGGAGGGGAACGGCTTGGGAGGGGTTTGTTCATCCCGGGGTTGGGAATGAAGTGTCTTGGATCTTAAGGGACTCCGCCAGGGTGATTGGGCTTGTCTCATGGCTGGTAAGTTTGTGGGCCTTGGGTAAAATGGGCACCCTTGGTACTTGGTTGTAAAGGGAAGCGCTCAAGAATATGAGACAAGCAGGGCACGTGGGGAGTTTGGGTTCAACTCCGGGCATTTTCGTTCGTGGGGGGGAGGGGAGGCTCAAAAACCATGTGCCCACAAAAGGGCGTCCCTCCCTTGTTTTCTTTTGGGAGTCCGCCAGTTTTTTTAAATGTTCGAGGCCGGACGGGGTCGATTCTTTGCTGGGAAGCTGCCACGGTTCACACCACATTCCGGTTCCTGGGCCACCAGTTTCTTCCCCCGCTTCATGGGAGCAACCCGCTTTGCCAGAAAGCACCTGCAACTCATTTTTGGAAGCCGTGGGTGGCCGCCTTGGAGCCATCCGAAGCCGGTCGTCTTGAGATCTCGCCGGCCGAGCTTGGCGCGGCCATTTGTCGTTGGCGCGAGGCAAGCCAAGTTGGACTCCAATCGCATACGCGGCATTCACGTCTTTTGCTCTTTTTTTTTGGGGGGGGGGACGAAAGGAATGCGCGAAAGTTCCGGTCTCGAAGCCAAACTTGGACACCAGGAAACCCACGGTTCCGGCCAAACCTGGAATTCCCTTGGGTTTCCAAGTGGCCAAAAGCTCTCGTCGGGCATGGGGAACAATTTATTTCCCGGCACGGTGTTGTGCAGCCTAAGCGAGGCCAGCCGCAAGGCATAGCGCGTGCTTGTTCGCAGTGCTTGCGGCACTCACGCGAGCGGATGGCACAACCCCGAGTCGGAGGTGCTGCGCACTTCGAGAATCAACGCATGTTGGCGCATCCCACCTTGTAGTCCTCTGATATATTGGTTGTGATTCAATAATCAACTTTCTGGGCCGGCATCCCCCAGAAGATCCTCCCAACCCAGGGCCGGTTTGCCAAGCAACCGGTTGGGGCCCCCCCTCACAAGATTCCCCAAAAGTCACTCGGGCCCAAATGCTCCCCTGCAATTGAGCGCTAGGAACCCGAGACAAATCGATTTGACATGCCAGGAATTCATTTCTCAAAGGATGGCTTTTGGATTCCGATGCTCTTGAGGGAAGTGAATGAAAAAAGCCAGTTCCAGAGCTCATCAAAGCTGCCTTCGCTTGAGCCCGGTGCAGGTGGCGTGGGCTTTCACGCCTACAAGGCCTCGGCGGATGCGGTGAAGAAGACGGGGGACGTCAACGTGCGCGGTGACCCAGAAGCCGAGCCGTTCTCGTTTTGGGTGGGGATGGCCAGATTTAAACCCGGAGAAAACGGTTCCACGCATGTTCGAGATCTTGTGATCGGCTACCTGAGCCAGGGGGTGATGGATTTCGGCGTGTTTTTCCGGCAAAGTCCGGGGGTTCTGCATGACCTTGCCCCAAAATAGGACAGGGTAAGGCCTCGCTCAGGTCCTGTTGTGGGGTAGACCAGGCTCAGGGAAAAGGGGGGTTTGGATTAGGCTTGGGTGAGCTTTGCTCCCACAACCAGTCGCTGAAGGAGGTCTTCTTGGCTGGTTTTTGGTGTGACCGAATCGCAACTTTGACCTTTGAGAACCAAATGCCTTTTCCATTACATAAACCTAAAGGTGACTAAGGGGGTTGAACAATAGTTGCCCAAGCCTGAGCGTAGGGACCCCGCTAAAGACCCCGGGCTCAAATAAGTTGCCACGTGTGCGAAGTAAGATGCCAACTAAGCTGCCCCATTATTTTTTTTGGGGCTCCAGGTTCCAGGGGTGGCTTGGTCCTTTCATTTTCCGGTTGATTCTGGTTTGTCATGGCATTTTCTGGTTTCTGGTGGTCCTTTTTCGTTCCTTGGCGCTTTATCTTGCTGGTGCTCAGGGGAGATCAGAAATGGAATGACCCCTGTAACCATCCGCTTCCTATCGTTTCCTTGATTCGGGAGTCCCAAAACGGTTCATTCCCCTATTCCCAACCTATGGCACCAGCAAGTGATCTGCTTTTGGCGGTTCATTTCGTCCTTGATTTGCTTTTGGCGTGCTGCTCAGGGAATGCGGGAAGGAGCGAAACCACCAGTATGGTTATTTTCGGGTCATTCCATTTCTCCTTCCCTGGTGGTTTTCTTTATATGGGACCAACGGGGTTCATTCCGTTTTTGTTTTTCTCCATCTCCTCTACCCCTCGCACCCGCACCCGCCGCGGCAGGCAGGGCTACGGGCTGGCCAGCCACCTGGGAGGCAGCTCCAGCTCCATGAGCGGCTTGTCGGCGACCCTGGGGGCCACCAACCACCACAGCTCCAGCGGCTGGAAGGCGGGGGCTGGGAGGGCGCTGGTGGCTTGGAGGAATCTTGCGAAACCGGTCTTTGGGAGTCGTCGAGGGTTTTGGGACAGGGGCTGGGGGGGTTCTTTCGAACACGTTTTTGGGAATTGCGGAGGGTGTTGGGAATGAGCGTTTGGGATCCCGGCAAAGCAAAACTCAACGGACGGTTCATAGGGGCATGTTTTGGGGAGGTGGGTGTGGCCGGCCAAGAAAAGGGGTGAGGGTTGGTTGGCAAAGATCGGCAACTCTTTTTTTGGCGATTTCTCCCTCAACAATTGGGGGGGGGGGGGGTCAGGACCTGCTCACACCCCCCAACTTCCCAAAAACCTGGGAGGGTGTCCTTTTACCCTCTGCCCTTGGGGATCTCATTACAAACAGAATGCCAGGCATGTTGGGCTTCTCATTTTCCTGATGGCTAAAAATGGTCTGCAAGCAGTAGAGTGTGAGTTCACGCACACTTTCGCATGTAACCAGGCTTGCCTCCTCCTCCTCCTCCTCCTCTGATGATAGGATATGTTCCTGTGGGTCATATGCGGTCCCTTTCCGGATGGTTTGCAACCAACCGTTTGAAAGGGTCTGATATGTGGTTTGATTGGTTTTATGCCAAGTCGATCATTCAGCGCCCAGTAGCCCAGTGGCTCAGTGGTGCCAATCTTCTCTTTTTGTGGATGGGTTTTCTGTAAATCCTTTTTCGCATGGCCACTGCGGCTTCTGAGAGGGGTCCAAGTGCGATTGTCAACCGCCCCGAGAACTCCCCTAACCCTTTGGGGCTTAACAGCCTTGTTATCAAGATCAACTAAGTCGCCAAGTAGAATAACTCAACAGTTGGGGTCCCATTTTCTGTTCTTTTTCTGGCGTTTGCAAGCCAGACAGACACTGGGGCTGTTTTCCTTTAACCTATCACCTGCAGGGTGACTTTGATGATATATTTGATGGCATAATCATGAGGCCAGGTTTGTCTTTGATGTCTCGAGGGGCCTCAGCCCAGATAAGGTTTGGGGGTGGCTTGGGGGAGCTCTGGAGTCAGAGGCTCCGTTCGAGCAACGGTTCCGGGATTGTTCCGGAGGTTCTGGGGTGGTCTGGCGCAGCCAAGTGAAAGGTTCAAGGAAGGTTTCGGAGGTTGCGGTGCAGGCCGGGTGAAAGGTTCAAGCTGTGCTTGTGTTTTTTCCGCATGCTGTTGGGGATATCACCTGGGCTTTTTTGGGGGTGTTAAACCTCTCCTTTTGAGCCACTTTAAAGCGCGTCTCCATTGGTGGGGTGACAGGAGAAATCTAGGGAATCTGGTTTAGAAAAACCGGTTTCTCGCAAAACCCACGGGCCGCATGATGAGGGCATCGCTCCAAGAAGGTTTTGGCCGGTCAGGAAATCACCGGGTGGTCCACCAACGGGGCCAACATGCCGCGAGCTTAGAAAGGGAGGCGGACCGGGATCAGCAGTCAAAGATGCGAATGATATGAATCCTACACACTTTCCGATATGATAATTAGATGCACAACCGTAGCAGATTACACGAAATATACGAAGCAGCTAAATGCACTACGATGTACACCATGAACCGTCCTCTTCCCAAACAACGTCGAGGGTTTCAAGGGCTTTGGCCCTACTGCAAGGAAGCGTACGTTTTGCCTGCAACCTATGGAAAGATGTGTCTTTGGGGGGTCTGAAGGGTCCTGGTGACGCATCTCGCCTGGTGCCAGGCGAGCCACAATCAAAACCTGGGTAGATGAAGGTTAGCAAGGGGCAGTCCCAGCCAGAAATAGCCGCGGGCGAGATCACTTGCCTGTGCGGGGTGGGAGGGGGAGGGGAGAATTACTTTCGCCAGTGACTTGAATTCAGAAGCTGTGCCGGTGCTCTTCCGGCGGACCGCTCGGGATGTGGTCCTTGGGAGTCCTCAGCATGTTGCTATGTCTGTGTACGTTGCGGATCTGGCAAGCACTTTGAATGTGTGCCGCCGAAGTGCACTTTTGGTGAACTTTTTTCAGGATTCGCTCACGCGTTGAAATGACCACGCTTGTTTATTGTTTCTGGCATTTCTAGTGGGGAACAAGAACAAGCTTTGGTGACCATTTGTTACTGCTTCTGCCAGGGATGTGGATATTGACTATACAGCTGTTTGTGTTCGGACAAGATTTGAAAAGTGACCCGGCAAAGATGTGTGTCTTTTTTTTCTGGGGTTGAACAAATCGCACATCTATGATGCCAGGGACATGTGAGGCCCTCCTTTGGTATCCATGGGCAAGCCCCACAACCTGCAGGCTTCACAGAATTCCTGAGGGTCCATCTGTAGATGTCCCCAAACATGGGTGATTGAACATGATTTTCTGCAAGATGGCTTCTTTTGCCGTTCCAAGATGATCAAACCATGGACAATGGCTTCAGAAAGAAACGTTGGTCGACAATTGGCTTCACTTCGCTTGGCAGAAGCAGTTTC